GAGTTGAACGCGTCATAACCAAGGTTACAATGAAAGAATCTAAAAGTACTTACCGCGCCATTTGTTCAAATACAGTGTCGTCGTAGTGCTGACCCTACATCAGCACGACTCATCGATTGTCTTACTTAGACAGGGAGAATACAATTACTGTAACATTCTCATGTAATGCCGCGGTTTATTTATTATTATAATTTTTTAAATAGTTGATTTGTGCTGATAAGGACGGATCGATTTTAAAATGGATACCCTTGTAGAAAAAAAAAAGAACTCCAGCTAATTGGCGATTTACTTATCGAAGTCCTTCCATATTATTACAGCGAATAAAGTTTTGGCGTCAAGATAACGTATTTTGATCACTTTATCGGGTTCATCTTAAGATAAAATACCTGCTGGCGTCCGTCCTGCTCTGGGTTGACAAATGTCCCAACATTTACGGACGATCCGTAACAAATTTGACATAAAAATGACTGGTATAAATGCTTCATACGCATTTAAAAAATTATTTCATATGAATGTTCCAAAGTCCAACTCGCTTTTACACCGCAGATTTATTTTCACCAACCGCTTCAGAAAAAAACACAAGAGCAAATTGAACGCATAAAACGGAGTTGCGATAAGTTTACGAATCTCATTTAGCGCAATTATCGGGAATTTTATTTTGTGAAATCGTGGCATCATATTTGCTTTGTCTTCCCATTGAAAAACAGGAAAAACTGATTTTTGGGACGGAAATTAGATAGGATATCTTGCCGTCGGCAACGAGTCTATGTGCCACGTTGCACCACGAAATGTTTACAGGAAGTGGGTCGATTAGCTGTCCGAAAATGTTTCCACCCGGCCAGAAAGAAACATACGAAGAAAAGGGAAGTTAATATAAACCATTTAACGCCAGACAAAGCGAGAAATTTCAGCGTTTGTGAGATTTTGAATATTTTTTTTTTAGTTTTAAATTTTAAACAGCTTTATTTTAAATATGCGTCCATGAAAAACATAAATATTCATTTTTGTACCAAAAAAATATGAACCCTTTGAACTTGTTTATTTTATTGAGTGTACATCTGTTTGAGTGTAAAGCTGTTTGAACTGTTTGAGTGTACATCTGTTTGAGTGTACATCTGTTTGAGTGTACATCTGTTTGAGTGTACATCTGTTTTACTGTTTATTTGTTTAAGAGTACAGCTGTTTTAGTGTACAACTGTTTCAGTGTGCATCTGTTTGAGTGTACATCTGTTTGAGTGTACATCTGTTTTAGTGTACAGCTGTTTGAGTGTACATCTGTTTGTGCAGCTATTGAGTAGATAGTACGGTAATCTCGCGCCCCTCTCCCCACCCTCCCCCAAATGACTCAAGTGATTAAAGAGAAGGAACCAGAGTTCAATAGTTCATGTTAAATTGATGTTAATTGCCTCCACGACTCTCATTGACCCCACGGGATTAACTGAGCCGCCTGGGCGTGGACAGAAGGTCAAGGTCTGACAGGAAGGTACCAAGGCCGAAACTGTACGTCTAAGAAAACAGTTTAAGAGGCAGGTTTAATTGAACCTACAGTTTGTTAAATAAACTTACTGGATCGTGTGGCACAACAGTGTACACTCATATAAAGCTAGCCATAGTTCCATAGCGCACCATCGGCATGAACTAAATGTTCTACAGTGCTCCAATAATTATATGTCACCCCATCCCATATGGCTCACCTTTGGAGATCCGCCTCCTTGGGCGACTGTTCTGAGTTCGTGATATAACCGTCGCCCGCTTCATTCTCTTGACCAGTCCGGCCCTGCAGGGGGATGCCGCGGACGAAGCTGCAGTAGTGGGGCAGGTACTCGTGCTGGAAGGCATGGGCGAAGGAAGAAAAAGGGGGGGGGGTGTAGATTAACTAAAACGAACCCTAGTGGTAAATGTATTTAACATAATATTCCTTCTAAGAATGTCCTGTTGGAAATGTCAAAGGATGGAAAGTTGTGCCTCTCTTGTATAGGTGTGTTAACTAGCAATATGGACTTAGACAACGGTACACAATTATTTTTTTCCTAATTATATTACTAGAACATGAATCAAAACCTTTGAATTTGAATCTTGTCTTTGAATTGAAGCACAACTCCTTCTGTTTTATTGACGTCTTATTGTTCTAATTAAAATTCAAATAGCGGTCCAATCACGCTATGATTAGTGGCTTCACGTTTGTGCACTTAGCTCAACCTGATCAATGGGACTGCGGGGCGGGGTTTTGGGTTAAATTTTTTTGGTACTTTTAGCACTAGGGTCTTCAATTAGAGTTCTCTTTCTTGTCTCTCTCTCTCTCTCCCTCGTTTCATCTCTCCCTCTCCCCAACCCTATCTCTCCTCCTCTCTCTCTTTACCCCCTCCCTCTCTCACCCTTTATCTCATTCTCTCTCTCTCTATATATATATAGACACACGTTTCCTCACCTGGTCTGACACAACCAAACCTTGCAGATCTTTTCTCTGAAAAAGGAATACAAATTATTAACTGATCAGGCCAAAGAGTCTTAGCGTTGGTCAAGTTAAACGGACAATGATGATGGGCGTGTTGTTGTGATAGTGTGAGAACACACAAACAGCAAGGATGTGACATCAGGACACACATTACAGTGTGTGGAGGAAAAAAAAAAAGGGGGGGGGTGGAGAAGAATTTACAAAAAATTCAATGATTCTAAATTCATATTCTCATTGGAGTCTACGCAGGAAATAAATTGTTTGGAACAAAAAGGTGGGGTGTGGTGGTGGAGAAGACATATATTTAAAAAAAAAATTGATTGGTTCTCAATTCATCTTCTGAATGGAAATGTTAACTGTAGTTAAAGATTGAGATACACGAGTGGTCGCTTTTTAAATAGTGGATAGAGGCTGCATTTGTTAAGAAAGGTTGCCCAAAATGCTCGATGCCCTCCCTTAGCTGGCAGTTATCTCCGGTTGAAATATCACGATCAAGCCCCCTTCCATAACAAGCCAGCATATCGATATAAATACATACTGACCACATTATCGGAGATGATCAAAGTAGCATATTCATACAGAGTGGAACCTCGGATAACGAACGCCCCACTTAACGATGAAATCGTTTAACGAACAAGTTTTGTGGGTAATTTTTTTAAAAAGACTTTCCTTGTAATCGCACTTCCATCTTGTTTGTCCAGCCTAATTTTTTTACTGACGCACGTGACCCTCATGTTCGGTCGATTCAGTCTTCCTCGTGTCGGCTTGTGAGGTTGCATCCCAGTTGATGACACAGAGTCATAGCCCCGGTAAGCTGGGTCAAGGGGAGGAGGGTTGGGTGGGTGATTGGGGCTGTGAATGATGGGGAAACGGGACCAAGTCATTTTAAAAACACCAACTTCACCCCTTCGCTTACACTGACCATCGGTCCTAACTGTAGGATTTCGGGATTGGGATAAGGTGCTAGGGCTGTGCATCTCGACCATCAGACTCTGATCAACAGACGGCAAGCAGGCATTAGATTCTACTTTTTTAGTTCTATGCCTGAGTAAAGAGATGGGTTACTATAACCTGGATCATAAAGTGTTTTTTTAAAACCTTCTTTTTGGGATACTTTACCGACTAAAATATTCACACTAAAACGTAGTAAACAAAAATATATATATTTTTTCAAAGCCGAGTTTCACCGCATAAAAAAAAAGAAGAAAATGTACTTAAAGTTCATTACGCAAAGAAACTCTGTACCTAAAATATAAAAAAAAATTAGAAGAAATTTAAAAAACGTAATTTCTTCAAAATTTAATTGGCTTCATAGAGTGCCTCCCTTGCACATAGTTTATTTCAGTTGTGAATTTTAAGAAAAGTATTTTCTATTTTTTAGTGCGTTTAAACTTGTCTTTGAAAAAATGGCTTTCTTTAAAAAAAAAAAAATAATAAAAATTCGGTAAAGTCTCGGTTAACAAACATAAAAATACACCTGTACACACTTACGACCTGTTCCTGTACACACAATCAGACCTGGGCCAGTACACACAATCCAACCTGGGCCAGTACACACAATCCGATCTGGTCCGGTCCAGTACACACACTCCGACCTGGTCCTCTACACAGAATCCGACCTGCTTATGTACACAGAATCCGACCTGCTTATGTACACAGAATCCAACCTGCTTATGTACACATAATCTGACCTGCTTATGTACACAGAATCCGACCTGCTTATGTACACAGAATCCGACCTGCTTATGTACACAGAATCCGACCTGCTTATGTACACAGAATCCGACCTGCTTATGTACACAGAATCCGACCTGCTTATGTACACAGAATCCGACCTGCTTATGTACACAGAATCCGACCTGCTTATGTACACAGAATCCGACCTGCTTATGTACACAGAATCTGACCTGGGTGCTGTGCTAAAAGTCCCGCTTTATTCTTCCACTTTGCATTTGTTTTAGCTTGATATTATAGCCTCCCATTACGGGACCTTGCGAGAAAAAAAATTATTTTCACCAAGTATTGTATTTAAACATGATAATGGCCCTTCAAGTTTCCGGCATCGCCAAATACACACAATGGCATAACCGACTATATGTACAAAGAAAAATAAAGGCAATGAAGTCGGCTGATGTGACTAAAGGAATAAATTTGTAATCGAAGAATAGCTGACAAGTGCAAGAATAAGTAAAAAAAAACACAACCTTTTGTTAGTTTGAATAAATGAAAAGCACCTGGTTGGAGTTAGTGTGAGCGTTACAATAGTTTATATATTTTTAAATTACTTAAAAACAATTAAAAATGTAAAATACAATATTTCTAAGGCTGGAAGAGATTAATTGAATGATATTTCTTTTTTTTTTTTAGTGGAGACATTATTTCGGTTATCGAACTTTTCTGTTTAAGTACGGAGTTACGGAACGTTCACTCTCCGAGGTTCCACCATATCTAAAATAAAATATATTAAACATTAGGTAGTGAAAGAATGCAAGTTAAGGCATAGTTTGAGACCTGCTGAGACAGCATTGTCATATCTTACCGTAGACGGGGCGGTCTGGGGCCTGTGGCAGTCAACGTAGCGCTGAACTTTGGAATAGTGTTTCCCAGGATCAGACCTGCCACTTGCAGGCCTTAAGCGGGGAGCCAGCCAGGGGCCGCTCGAAGGGAGAGAACCATTAGACCCCCGGTGATCCCGAGGTCGCCATTTTGACAAAGGGTGGCCGTCCACGCCCTTACCATGACAACGCGTATGTCTGTCGAAGTAGAGGGTCCTGGGATCAGACTCGTAGCCGATCGATAACCCGACCCTGGGATCCTCCAACCAGGGGGAGAACTCCTCACCCGATGGCGTTTGGGATCCCGATGAGCACGCCGACTCTGAACTTTGAACAACGATTTGAGGAACGTTCTTGTTGGACTCTTTGATGTCGCGAGATTTGTCTTCATCCGATGAAAGCGTGCTCGTGTCCAAACTGAATCCGGAATCGGCCGGGCTTGGCGGAGGTTGTACAGAATCGTGTCCATCTGCAAACGCCTGAGACAGCACGCTTAGTTTATCCAGGGGGTGCCACGGTTCCCTCTTCTGAACACCCCAGGCGGTCCTAGGTCGGCCCAGGGGGCGGGTGTGGCCAGACGTCGGGCGCGGTGAAGTCCCCACTTGCGTAAGGTGAAACCTAAGGTCTGCACTTTCCTTGATCCTGGCAGCGATTGGCTGGTTGTGTTGCTTCCTCGAAGACAGGAAGTTGGCACTCGACGGCCTACGTGGGACTTCCACTGAAACAGTTTTAGCACCGTCTCCTGTTAATCCTGAAATCGTCTGACGTTCCCTACACGTGTGTTGAATAGGAGCTGAATGGACACGAGGTTTGCGACCGGCATGGGAAGCATCCAAGAGTTGAGTTCCATTTTGGTTCCCGCTTCCACATCCGGTTTTCTCCACTCGACTAAAAGCCTCGAGCTGTTTGAGAATCTTCTCCTCCTGGACCAGGGTGGGTTTGTAGGCGTCAGACAGCCAGGCCAGATGGGTGGACAGCATGTCTCCGGCACGCCACTTGTAGCGGGGCGTATACAGATGGCTCAATGGGGCAGCGCCATTTCGACGGCACGACACGTGTGTTATTACTTAAATTGTATTATAATTCATGCATCTAGTGATGACAACGTACATACTATGATATGTCATTGAAATATGTCAACACCACAGGCAAAATAAAATACGGTTGTTGGAGTGGTTGGGGGTTCTAAGATTTGTCCAAATCACTGGTACTCTTTACATGTATGTAATGTAAAGATTGGTCAGTTGATCAGCCAAGCTAGCAGGACTTCAAAGTACACCGCAAAAGATAACAAAGAAATGTAACAACCATTGCATCGTTAATAAACAACGAGGCTTTGAAGTATAACAAATAAAAAAAGAGGTCAGTCGACCCTGGGATCAAAGAAATATAACTACCATCGCAAGTTAAGTAGATCTCAAATATAGCTACTATCACAAGTTAAATGGACCTCAATTATAACTACCATCACAGGTGAAATAGACCTAAATTATAACTACCACCACAAATTAAATAGAACTCAATTATAATTACCTTCACAAGTTAAATGGACATCAAATATAACTTCCATCACAATTTATATAGACGTCAATTATAAGTACCATCACAAGTTAAATAGACATCAATTATAACTACTATCACAAGTTGAATAGACCTCAAATATATCGTCCATCACAATTTATATAGACGTCAATTATAACTACTATGACAAGTTAATTAGACATCAAATATAACTACCATCAAATGTTTAATATACTAAAAAGTATAAATACCATCAAATTTTCAATATACCACAAATATAACTACCACCAAAAGTTCAATATACCACAAATATAACTACCACCAAAAGTTCAATATACCACAAATATAACTACCATCCTAAGTTCAATATACCACAAATATAACTACCACCAAAAGTTGAATATACCACAAATATAACTACCATCAAAAGTTTAATATACCACAAATATAACTTCCATCAAAAGTTTAATATACCACACAAATAACTACCATCCTAAGTTCAATAGATCACAAATGTAAAGACTATAACAAGTACCCTGAAGTCATTCATTGAGTTATTCTGGTGTCGCCACCTTCCCGATCGGTCAGTTACTTTTTATAATCTTAGTACAGTGACCGTTGGGGTCAGACTGACCTTTGATTGCTGTGACCTTGCTCTTGTCGAGCTGACTTGTAGGATAAGGGTGACCCTTAACAATTTTATATTGTCGTGTATCCATGGTTTTATGACCTTGACGCGGTGATTTATACGTTGAATTATTCTTTTGAATGGCTTGTTCTTTGGACGGGAACTGTTCCTTTGAATGGCTTGTTCTTTGGACGGGAACTGTTCTTTTGAATGGCTTGTTCTTTGGACGGGAACTGGTCTTTTGAATGGCTTGTTCTTTGGACGGGAACTGTTCTTTTGAATGGCTTGTTCTTTGGACGGGAACTGGTCTTTTGAATGGCTTGTTCTTTTAACGGACACTGGTCTTTTGAATGGCTTGTTCTTTTAACGGGAACTGTTCTTTTGAATGGCTTGTTCTTTTAACGGGAACTGTTCTTTTGAATGGCTTGTTCTTTGGACGGGAACTGTTCTTTTGAATGGCTTGTTCTTTGGACGGGAACTGGTCTTTTGAATGGCTTGTTCTTTTAATTCTGACTTGTAGGATAAGGGTGACCCTTAACAATTTTATATTGTCGTGTATCCATGGTTTTATGACCTTGACGCGGTGATTTATACGTTGAATTATTCTTTTGAATGGCTTGTTCTTTGGACGGGAACTGTTCCTTTGAATGGCTTGTTCTTTG